AAAGTTATCGCATAAGAAGCTAATTTCCCATATAATTATCTACGGAGCTCAGAGTGAATAATTGCATTCATATTGTATAGTTGAGCTTCTTGATTTGAGCAAGTGGGTAGGCAAGAAATGGAAATTTTAATTAAACTCAGTTTTTATTCATATTAATGTACACTTGCCTCACTTTAAATGCTCTTCATGTTTGACGATAAAAACTCTTATAAACTCCCTCCATGGGACTTTAGTGATGGTAATGTGGCTCTAGTATAAACAATTACTTTTTCAAGTATATTTTAAAGCTGAAACTATACGGATGGATAAAGCTTGCATGCATTGCATAATTATCTAACTTATTCTAATTATCAAGCTTTGTATTTTTAAACTGAATCGAGAGTGACATTGTGAATAAATTGCTAATTTTCCTTGACTAAAATTTTAATGCAAGGGAATGGCCGTATTATGAGATGTCCCCCTTTTGATGGCACCACTTATTAAAATTTGCTCTAATGTAATTTCACCTCTCTAGGACCAAATAATATTATAGTATTATAATATGTATTGTATATAACTACACACAATAAATGAATATATAAATATTATATATAAAATATATATTACATTATTATATTATGTTATTATAATAGTATATTTTTTGTTAAGCCGAAGAAATTGATCTTAACACGTAGAGTGGCATTTTACTAATTCATCTTGAAATTTAATCCGTGTTTTTGCTCAACTGCATGATCCTATTTCGCCTTATTGTATCGTTTTCTGGAGTTTTGACGCCATCTTATTATTATTATCATTATTTTATTCTTACTTCATCGTCTTCTTATTTCTATCTTCCCATCCACTTACACAAATTCTTAGCCTCCACCGCATGATTCATCCTTCGTCACACTACTCTTCAGACCCTCTTCCTTGGTTTGTTACACCAAAGACCCTAATTCTGGACGACTGCTTTCTAAAAATGAGGCGCCTACCTCAATCACGAGGCGATCGGCAAGCGCGCAATCTGAAAAGGAGTCTAACAAGTTGGGAGTTCAGGATGCGTTTATAAAGCAGAAAATGTATATTCCTGCTGCAAATTCGTCTCCAACTCCCGTGACAGAGTCAAATTACGATTGTTCTGCATCTTTGTGTCCTGCTGCGACATATTTGTCCATACATCTTCGCCAAAAAGAGCAGGCGCAGCAACTAAGGGAAAATATCCATCTGCTCCCAGCAACAAAGGGTAAAAGATCACTAGGTGTCTCCCAGGGATACGTTTCCAACTGTCTGGAGGGCAACGCCCAAATCCACATGTTGTCCAACTCAGGCATGGTTTCGCAGGAAAGAGACTGGAGTAAAAAGGTGAAAGGGGCCCAGAAGCTTTCCAGCCTCTTTGAAATAGAGGAGGAAGAGGAGGAATGGGATAAAAACGAAGAGACGAATGATGCGCAAATGAAGGAATAGGAAAACCTATCTGACTTAGTAGTTGACGCAGAAGAAAAGACTATGAGATTAATTTCCAGATGTTCTCTTGACCGCTAATGTTTTCCGTATCGTTATATTCACTCGTTGCCTATACATTTAGTCATTCTTGTGTCAATTGACCAATCAGACAATCGGTTTATTTAAAAGCTATTTCATTTATCCCCTTACTTTTACTTGTCCCGATTGTCTAAATATGCCTACTATCTTATGCCTCCCCTTTATTATATCAAAGTCCTATGAAATCTATGATTTATTTTATAATTTTGTCTGGTCATATCACTATCTTGCCATCCTACCTCTGCACGTTGACCCTTTGTTCCTT